TAATTACTCTGAATTGGTTAAACACACAATAGCCGTCTATCCTGCGACAGCTGTATTTCTTAAGGTTTGGTCTGGTTTGTTTGATTACGGCAACGCAATCGAGAGCTTTCTAAGGGAAACTGGTTCGCATTTTACTCATGGGGAAAACCACGAATACGAGAAAATACCTTATAAGGAAATCTAAGATAATGTGAGGCTTTAACGTAAAGTAATTTCTCCCTTTTTATCATGTGCTTTTGTAGTGTAACATGACGCACGTCCGGCTAGAAATCGGAAGATTTGGGACCTATTACAAATGAAGGGGAAACTTGTGGAACTCAGGTTCATGATTCTCATTACCCACTATCTTAACTCCTCTTTAAATACGTATTCGAACTTGCGTTGAAGTTTGGTTTTTCAGATTTTTCATTTTCACTTCATCTTAAAATAAAGCCTAAGCCTTTTATATTCTTCTGTTTTCCGCCTGTGAAAGCGTTTCTAAGCCTTTTTCTCGACAAAAATGGTAGGTTCCATTTTTTTTAACGTAAAATAATTTTTCTTTGCTTCTTTTGTGAAAAATATTAAAATAGATAGTTATAATAATCACTTGAAGCTAAACCTGGGCTATAAGTGCGTGTCAAGCTCTTTAAAGCCACGTTGTCAATTTGGAATTGAATTGACTTATTGCCATTTGTGAATTGCTGAATTGGTCAGGATACCCATCTTCCACACACTTGATGTTAATGTGAAAATGTTCATGTTCATTTTAGATAGATCTATTTTGCTGCTTTTAATCTCCTACTCTATATGTTCTCCTAAAAACGAGCAGTAATTTCTAATGTCTCGATACTTCTAAATTTTGACTTTCGCGAGTATCAGCGTCGATAGATTCTTGGCTCATACGAAATAATTTTCCCCAATCATTTATAGTAGATAGTTTGGTTTGGTTTATTTGAGTATGGCAAAACACTCTATCTGCCTGATGGAAGGGATAGCTTCGTGGAGGACATTCTAAGGGCTTGTATGCACGTTACATATGGGAAAACCACGAAAATGCCCATGTAGCCTGCCCATGCAACCTTCCCATGTAGCCAGCCCATTCGCCGGGATTCGAACCTCGTACAGAACTACCAGTGTTAAGCGACTTTACCTCTCAGCCGTTGGTGGGCCCATTCATTGTAGAATAAGAAGACAAGAATCAGTAAGCACATGACTAAACACTGTTTTATTTCTTTGGTACTGAAACCTTTAATACGGAGCGAAACCAGCATTTCACGTCATTCAGTAATGAGTATAAAATAAACCCCTATAATTTCTGCAACGAAACTTTCAAATTTCTGTCAGATTTTAAATTTACCATTGCAATTACATGTCTGCATGAGGAATTTTCCAAAATATTTTTTTGTGTGGGAGGTAGGAAAGCGATTAGTTCTATAAACGGACTTATTAATAACTAGTGAGTGAAGTATAACTATAGGAAAATGTATTTTAAAATAGTAAACTGAAGTAAAATAGTACCTCGGTATAGGTCCGCCTTGAAATAAGTTGAATTGGTATACACACTGTTGGGCGCGAAAATATTTCTTTGATATACGACAGTTGTTTGCAGAACGATTCGGATGAGTCACGATTGCGTAACACTGCTTTTGTTTACCACTTTCGAAACAATGGTACGATTGCCCATGGGCACCAAGTAGACCTGTTGCTATTATTTAGTAAATAACCGGCGCTACAATTCGGAATTTTCAAGGTGATTTTGCATTTTTTGCTTTACATTTCCTTAACAATGAGTTTTATGCGTGTCCGCCAAAAACATCGAGGCAAATACATCGCGGACGGAAACGTCGCGGTAAAAACAACGCAGAGCGAAAACGTCGTCGTGCAAAACATCGTGGGAGAGAACAAAGCAAGAAGAAAACACAGTTCTAAAACATCATGGTACAAATCATCGTCATTTAAAACAAATCTGTGCAAAAACGTCACAGTTTAAAAACATTGTCGTCAAAATTATCATGGTAAAAAAGTAAAGTACCTACAAATCATCGCATGACGAAAGATATGCTTTTTCAGGCTTTGAAAATTCGCATATTCTTATAATGATTTGTCAGTGCAAGAAGGAATGAGGAAAGCGTTTACTTTTATATTTCATATTTTTGAATTAATGCATAAATTTTTGTTAAAAAGATAAGAAAGCAACTTAAGCATTCAAAAACTGAAAATGATTAGAAAACAATTCTAGATATATCAGTTAATAGAAATTTTAACTTTTATAATTAACTAATAAAGTTAATTAATTAATTATTATATTTATAAAGTCTTACTGGTAATTTTTCATGAAAGCATAGTCTAAAAAAGATTAGAAATAGGAAGATGAACAGGAGCTGCATCTGGTTGTTACTTCTATTAAAGTTGTTGAATTAATTATCAAATCATATTATCTTTCATAAGCAGCATTAACTGTCAACTCATTTTCAGTTTTTGAATGCTTACGTTTACTTCTGTATTTTTCAGCAACAATTTATTGATTAGTTAAAAAAATATAAAAGTAAAAACATTCCCCATTCCGTTTTGCTCTCAAAGATCTTTAGGCGAATATGCATTTACGATTTTCAAAGCCCGAAAAACGCATGTCTGCAATGTTATCGTCATGCGATGATTTGTAGGCGCTTTATTTTTTACCGCGATATTTTAAACAACGATGTTTTTAAACTGCGAAGTCTTTGAATCATTTTATTTTCGACCATGTTGTTTTGTACCACGATGTTGTAGAACTGCGATGTTTTCTCCTTGCTTTGTTTTCTCTTATGACGTTTCTCCTTGCGTTGTTTTCTTTGCGACATTTTCACCTGTAACCAGTTTTAGGAATGTTAATGAGAAGAAACGAGTGATGAAGAAATTTTTTAAGACCAATCATGGAGGTGAAAAAAGGGAATTGTTGAAAAGTATGAAGATGACGTGCGTATCCGGGATTGGCTCTTGCGTAACATATGACAAGTACGATGGTGTCTAAGATTGTAAAAAACCAAAGACGATGTTGAATCGGCTTGCGTAAAGAAAGGGCAAATCCATTACCAAACAAAGATCACAGATGTTACACCATGTTGAAAAATGGCTGTTGATTTAGGTAGCAATAACAAAAGGATTATTTTATAAGGATTTATTTATGCATTATTTCCCCTCTATTTCTTAATGGAAACTTTCGTACGACCTAAGTCCAAGGATTTGGTACAGGTTAATGACTTATACGGAAGTGCCCCTCTACAACGTTTTTGTATGTATGAAACTGTAAAAAAAAATAATGACTGCATTAAGAATATTTTTTAACTTAATTACAATGCAAAAGCAACGAGTGTTGCCAAAGAATGATGCGCTTTGTCGGTAATTTTGTCCTTTATCAGTGAATGATAGAATTATGAAAAATGTTTAACACCTTTATTATTTAGAGTCTTTTAGACAGATAACCCTTATGTATGTTGCCATATTCAAATCAACTAACCCTAACCCGTTCACAAGCTTAGAAATTTACATGCTTCTGTCATAATTTTTTTACTTACAAAAATAGAGTAAAATGAAAGTGATTTAAAGGTTATCCAAACCTCAATGCCAGAATGAAAATATTCTCTAAAAACTGTCAGTGAATAGATTCGTGAATATTTGTTTCGATTAAAATTTTGCATTCAGAAACTTCAGTTGACTAAAGTTTTCTAAATGAAGTTTCAATTCCTTGTAAATGAATCTTTGATCCCAGCTAATTTTTTACTTATTACGCGCTCCGCAACTTAGGCGCTGCACAGAAAGGGACGGATGCCCCTTGGAGGTATTTTTAAGCTCAAAGTCGTTCGTATCTATGTTACACTTGGGGAGAACCACGAAAACGTCCATGCAGACAGCCCGTTCGCCGAGACTCGAACCCGGGACCGAACTAAGAGTGTTCAGCGGCTTTTTACCGCTCGGACGCTGGTGGGGGCCTTCCAGCTTTTTAATGTAATGATTCTTCTACTAGCCCGTTCACCACTTCGATACAGAAATGAACATTTTTAATCAAACGTATTGCTTAAATTCGTTTCTGAACATTTTGGAATTTGTCCTGAGATGGGAAAGCGTTCTGTGACTTTAACTGCCGAACCGAAGTTCTCGGATTCGAATCTTGTAGAAGACATGGGTAGTAGTGACCAACGCCTGTAATGGCAAGTGTCCGCCATTGGAGAAAAATTTTTTTTGGAGTTTTGGATATTCTGGGGAATAAATACTTTTCCCCTTAAAACTAAATATATTGTATTTCCACTACAGAAGAAGTGATTGGCTCTATAACTAGCTGTAATTAGCTAATCCGGCAATTAAATTATTCAATAAGTACTGAGTTTAAAATTTTTTTAAAATATTAATATTATCAAGGGGTTACGTAATCATTTTAAACAGAAAGTATCAACAGTCTAATCAGCTCTTGTATTCAAAAGTTCACTGACCGGACATACAGAAATATGAGCTGAATGATTTCACCGTTGTATTTATAATCTCGATACCTTATGAACATTTTTTAACCCTGACTTGATAAATCTAACTGTTTTGGTATTTCTTTTTCATTAATTTCTCAGGCTTTACAAAAAAACATAAATCCTAGCACTCTAACCTTCAAAATCGTATTATCAGCCTTTAGTCCAGAAGTAGACTGAACGAAAATGGTAGGAGGATTTTATCTAAAACATAAAGAGTCTTTACCGAAACTGACAGTCCCTGTCTTGCGTTGAAACTACGAAGATCTTAAAATAAAATACTGCTGGGAAACCCTAACTATTCATATTCGTGGTATCCCATTGTGCTTTTGGGACATCAATTCTCTCCGAAGGCCGTTTATCCTGTATGTTGTCCCACGATGGCTTTTTCGAAGCGATAAAATACACTTCGCTTCACAAGAATTATGTCTGTCAGAAGAAAAACTGAGTGAATTAATTATTCGGTAACATGTTACAGTCTGCTGATAACAGCAAATTTATATAGGGCCAACCTGTCGTCCGTAGACAAGTATTTGATAACTTGAAGAGTGGAGGCAAGTTCTGTTTGGAATACAATGAGCGCAGTTGTGATGTCTAGAATTGCGTTCGTATTGTTCCTGTTACTTCATGGGCATTTATCCAATGCCTGTACAGAAGATGAACTAGTGTTCCTCCAAGTGGTATGATGTTTTAAAAAATACTCTTAATGGAAGATCATGTTAAAAATAAGTAATTTTATATGCTCAAGAGCATTCTAAAATGATTTTCGAATAATCGATATGAAAAGTTTATAGTCCACTGCAGAAAACTGCATTTAAAAGCTTTTCCATAAAAATAGATTTTATGATTTTACATATGAAAATAGACGTAAAACTATTCAAATCAATGTGTTACAAGAAATTAAAATATTCTCTCTAGTAGGGCTGTAAATATGGTAATTTTAATTTTTAAATGAACTGGATTACAGAATTTAAGAGCAGTTAATTCACTTATTGCAAGAGATATTTAATAATTTTCTATTATTGAATATGAATAATAATAATCTGTCTAATATAATCTATTATTAAACAGAAATAGTAATCATAATATACCTATAAGATTTGTATGTGTGATAATTTCAATTTTTAAATGAACTGGATTATAGAATTTTAGAGCAGTTAATTCACATATTTCAAGAGATATTTAATAATTTTCAAACAATAATAAGCTGCCTAATTAGATATGTGCATGTGTTAATTTTAATTTTTTAATAAACTGAGTTGAAGAATTTGAGAGCAGTTTTAATTTCCTTATTGTAAGATAAATTTTAATATTAATATCAATTAAATATTATTTAACATAAATAATAATAATATGCCTAATTAGATCTATATATGTGATAATTTTAATCTTTAAATTAACTGAATTGAAGAATTGGAAAGCAGTTAATTCCCTTATTGCAAGAGATATTTTAAATACTCAAGTATTATTAAACATAAGTAATAATGGTTTATCTACCTATGAGATCTGTATATGTGATAATTTCAATTTTAAACGAACTGGGTTGAAGAATCTTAGAGAATTAATTTATTGTAAGAGATATTTAATTTTACTTCTTTTTAAATTCATCATAAATAATTTTTCTTTTATTCTATATTTTTGAATATTCAAATAAGTCTTTATAAATTAACTTTTTTACTTTTACAAGGAAAAACGAACTATATATTAAATTATATCTTACATCATTTAGAATAATGCTGCAAATATAATTATCATATTATATAAAGTAGCTCCTTCAATATAGCTCCTTCGAAATGATTACAGTTTTACATTAAAAAGTCTATGACAATCAGAAATGTTCTTTCTTTTCTTTATATTTTATATCGGCACTTATCTATCCCATATACTATTCGTATAAAATAATACCGCAAAGAAAAAAGTACTTCTAATCGAGATTTGATATTATGGTCTTACAATAACCATTTTCTATGGTAATACTTAGAAATAAGAGTCTACACAGTTACAGAGAATTAAGAGTCTACAGAGTTTCAGAGAATTAACAGTCTACACAGTTACAGATAATTAAGGGTCTACACAGTTGCAGAGAATTAAGAGTCTACACAATTTAAAATTATTAAAGTCTTTTAGGGTGTAGTGGTCAGCACGCTCGACGCGTATTCGAGAAGACCGTGGTTCGAGCCCCGATGAGAGCATTGGTCATTTTTCATCTCTCCTGCTTTCAGGATAACCTAATATCTCTACAAAGTATCGTATCACTTGGATTAATTCTCAAGCTACTCAGAATTGAAATTATTTAAACGTGAAAAGTAGTCTAAGAATCAGGATAAAAAATTAGAAAATAATAGGAAAAATATCTGAAATTCGCGAATTTATTTGACGTTTACTGAAAAAATTGATATTCACGAAAGTTGAAAAAAGTCTTCCAAATTTCGCGAAAATTCATACCGCAATAAACTTAAAAAGGTAAAAGTAACGAAACTGATGTGCAAATTTAAAGCACATGAAGCCAATTACGAAAAGAAAATTATTAAATGTCTTGTCTTTGGATGTAAATAATTTAAATTCTTCCGTTAAGTCTTTAAGAATCTTCTGTAATTATTTTCAAGAAACTTTCGTCATTTATCAAAAATTTGTCTGCCTTTTACTTAAAAGTTCACATTTCAGTGAAATACTAAGATTTTTCTTGTTAGTTGTTCATTTTTCTTTCTTTGATCTCTGTCTTTTTAGCCCAGAGTTTTAGTTTACGGTATTCTACTGAATTGATTACTATTATTACTATTATTAACACTTATTCTTCAAAGCATTTAACCCTAGGAAGAGTGATTTGAAAAATGTGAATGATAGGAGAATGCAATTATTTTTTAAATTCTTCTCCACTTAAAAGGCGACGTAGTCGACCAAAACATATCAACGAATTATCGTTCACCACACGTTTAGTTCGGGCGTAATTAGTGACTACTAAGGCTGTTCGAAACAGAAAAATAAAAAAAAAATTGAACATAAACTGCTGCTTCGAGTGGATTCGGAACACAGCACTTTCATTTGCTTCAGTCTGTTGTTCTGAACTAGGCTTTTTAATGCCTTTTCTCACAGTCCTTCGTTTCGCTTGTCGTCATGACCGCACAACATTTATTTTCTCTAGCCATTTGAGAATATATTTTAAGTCAGTCTTAATTCATGCGTCTTTTACGAAGCACACACGTTAAACTTAAACGAAGAGAAAAAAAAAACAATAAAGACTATAAGGTATTTCCCCCGGCTCTCTAGCGTGCCTTCGTGGTGTAATGGTTCTGCAGGCTGGGCCGGTATTCTAGAAGTCCGTGGTTCGATTTCCGGCGAAGGCAGTTGCTAATTTTTCTTCTCTCCGGATTTTCTAATTAACCTAATGTCTCTACAAGACAGCTGATCATTTGCCGCAGATCTTGTTAGTGTTACGAGACAAGCTTGGCGCGAGAAAATAACTCTTGTTGTTTTTGTTGACTAATGCTCACTTGTCTGACGTATAGTCATCCCAAGTCCACAAAATTTTTCGTGGCAAGAAGCGCAAGATTACGCCTGTCATTGTCGTTACCCTTCATTACAGGCTAGATCTACAATGATACATACATACACACACACGCCATCATATATATATATATACACAGGGTGTATCAGTACAACGGTGACAAACTTTCAGGAGAGACAGAGTACAATTTGAAGATGGGAAATCACATAGTAATTCATGGCCGGTAACGGTATGCTGTCATGGTAGTAATGACATAAATCACAAGATAGAAAGGACACGAACAAGGTGAGGAAACATGTTTATTACAGGACATGAACAAGGTAAGGAAACATGTACAGCAGAAATCAAGAAATAAGAACAAAAATAGATAACAATCGTCATTAAAGAGGGTGTTCGAAATTGTGACCCCGGACTGTCATGCACGCGTCACATCTCCAGTGCATGGAAGATGCGTGCGTGACACACGGTTCCTGCATCATGGTCCGGAGTTGTAGTTTTGAATACCTTCTTTGATGACAATTGTTGTCTGTTTTTGTTCTTATTTCTCAATTTCTGCTGTCTTTAATTCTTTTAAGCATAATAAACATGTTTTCTCATCCTGTTTGTGTCCTTTATCTTGTGATTTGTGTCGTCACTACCGCTCCACGGAAGCATTTCCGACCGTACGTGATTTCCTATCGTCTAGGTGTACTCTATCTCTTTCTCCTGAAAGTATGTCACCGCTGTACTGATACACCCTGCATATAAATTCCCCTGGTGAATTTTACATATATAGTTGCTGTGGATACATTAGTTACTTCAGAGTGTTCGTGTACAGCATTCCAACATTCACACACTAAATAGCACATTAACATGACGCACAGAAGCACTAGTAAGATACAACGAGACACCCAGGAGCAAGACAGTTAATGCTGAAGATGGGGCAGGATTCGGTAGTGCCCTGGGGGCATGACGAAGGTCCTATCCCAAAGCCTGCAATTTTTCCGTCAAGAATTTAAGTTCTCTGAGTAAAGCTGGAGGCTCAATGAAGAAGCGCATGAATGGCGCATCACTAACCAACAACCTCATGTTCCCTACCTTAGTGAGTGGGCATGCTGTTATGTAATGGGCTGGAGTGCCGGATTCGCGACACACACACAAGTTGCCGAGATAAGCCTAAGCAAACTTAAATGACACAATGTATGTCAGTCAGCTGCACATTTAGGCACGCTCAATTTTATGTTAACTTTCCTGTTAATAAGTTCTGTTACATAGGTGTGAACGAATTTAATATCTAGTACGCCTTTTGAATGAAAAGCCCTTGTTTGAACGAAGCCGAAAATAACAAACTACAGCTAGAGCATGTACGAGTGAATGCATAAGTCCTCATAGCTTGGTATTTTAATTATAATTTCAATTTAAACAATATATGTTCAAATATCTTGTTAGAATGATCTTTTTTTTTTACATTCAGGTATCTCGACATGGAAGCACATCGCCTAAGTTCCTTTACCCTACGGATCCTAATCCCAAAGAATTATGGAAAGAAGGACTTGACGACTTGACGATGGTATAAAAAACATTTTGCATGCTATTCGTTTTTTTCTTTAAAACCCTGAATGCATTTATTTGTAATAATCTCAAGATCTTATCAGTTATTTATAGTTGTAATAACCATTCTTTACATGGATAAGAGAAGGAAAAACGAGTTTTAGAATATGAAAAAAATTCTTATTTCACTTAATCTTTTCAGACATAATGTAACATTTTTTTAGATAAATGATTGAGTACATCTATATAGTTTAAGGCAGAGCTATCTGCTATCTGTCTAAGTTGGCTTGTATTTCCCTTTTATGTACACTCGTGTGCAAAATTAAGCGAATTCTCATATTATGTTGAATTTCTGAAAAACCTAATGGAGCGATTTTAATTAAATTTTGTATAAACATGCATTTATAAGAGAGAAAGAGGTATACCATTCAAAAATCATTTTATGTACGCATCATTATCAGTAACGCTAATAGTGCAGAGATGTCCAAAATCCACGTTGTGATATCGAATTGAACGTGAATGCAATATAGGTTATGGTCCCTCTCGCAGCAAGTTAAGTCGCGCACCGTGACGGTCATCTGGACAGCAGGTAGTCCAGGAGTCTTTTTGACAGTCGAACCTACAACTGAAGCAACGCAGCTTTCATCTTCGGAATGATTCTCAAAGGAGGGTAGCGAGGTAAAATTACCTTCTCAACAGCGACCCAGACATGCTCTGTAGAGTTGTTAGAAGATCTGGGTGGCGAGTTCATGCGGCGAATATCCTCACTTTCAGCTGATCGTGGACCAGCTGATCTCTATGTGGACGACCGTTTTCGTCTAATAGCAGGAATCCAGAACCAACTGCATTCCTGAAACGCCGAACGTTGGGTTCTATGATCTCCTGCATATATTGGATAGCATTCAGAGAGCCTTTGCCAAACACATGCAGGTGTATGATGCCGCCCACCTTAACACTTGCCTAAACCATTACACTACAATAATATAATGATCATTTTCCCTGTCGAGGGAGGGATGGTATCATACACCGGGGTCTCTCCAAATACAGATGTGCCGAGAATCAGTGTCCAGACTGAATCTTGACTCATCTATAATACCAGGGTGCTCCACTGAATTCTGGTTCATGGCGCGTGTTGTTTACACTATAGACTATATTAAACACATTCTCTTGTGTTCTCCAGTGAGCGGGACGTAAAGAGTGGACTTTCTGGCTTGCAGCCTTATCTCATAAAGTCTTTGGGCAACTGTAGACAGTGAAACTCTGGTTCCGGGGGCAGCAAACAGCTCACGTGAGAGCTGTGAAGTTGTAGCTGCCCTGCGTCGCAGCGCTGAAAATGCCAAATAACGATCTTTTTTCATCTTTTTGTAGCTTAGTCGACCTTGTCCAGGTGTTCTCGATATGTATTGAGCATCATGACACTGCTTCCGCAAATAGCAGATGACACTGGACACTACATTAAGCTCTTTAGCCACCTGCTCTTGTGATTGGCCTGCCTCGAATCTGCAGACGATTCTGTATCTTATTCCGTCCCCCATACCATTACTCATTTTACCTGATACACCCAGGAGTGTCAGGAAGTTAAGGGTTAATTCTGGAGATCTGACTGGCCAATCCATACGGCGAATATCCTCACTTTCCATGTAATTGTCGACCAGTCTTATGTGGACGAGCGTTGTCATCCATTAATAGGAAACCATTAACAGCTGCGTCCCTGAGAAGTCGAACATAGGTTGTAAGATCTCCTCTCTATACCTCATAGCAGCAGAAAGCCTTTGTCAAACACATGCAGGGATATGCGGTAGTCCAACATAATGCTTGACCAAAATATTGCCACCTCCATAATGGTAAGTTCTCCTGATGAGGGAGGAATGGTATCGTGTTCCAGGCGTTCTCTAGAAACCTTGGGAATCAACATCCATATTGAATCCGGACTCATCTCAATCTCAGTCTTGCGGGAAAATGTTTACCGTGAAACTTGGGTTCCAGAGACAGCATTCAGCTCACGTGAAAGTTGTGAATCTCTAGCTGTACTGTGTTAGATCGTTGATAACGATAATTGAGACAAATAAAAGTTCTCATTTCTCGTTATGGATCTTGGTCGACGTTGTCCAGATCTTCTCGATATGATCCAATGTCCTGAAACTGTTCCACAAATTGCAGATGATACTGGACGTTTTATTGAGCTCTGCAGCCACCTGCAATTATTATTGGCCTGTCTCCAATACTACCGATAACTTTTTTATCGCATACCGTCTGTAATACGTAAATTATACTTAGTAAATAAACTTTGGATTTCATTTTGTAAACACATTAAACAAAATCTGAAACTAATTCATATTACAGTTTTTAAACTCTTTTAAAACAATATACATTTGTATAATTTATGACGTTAAATTATAAGTAAGTAATCACAAGATCTTTCCGAATGCTAAAATTATAAACATAGACAGCGTACCACAAGGAAAAGATGCTAACCGCTTCTGAAGAAACTAACAAGAGAAACTAATGAAATGTTATGTATATATGACTTTTATTCTTAAGGTTAAACAAAGACAATCTGAATCCATATGTAAAATACAAGTAACAGTAAAATATTTTGTATTACGTTTAATGGTGTGCAACGGATAAGTAAATGATTATAGCTTTTATTGCACAGCAAAATTAGGCTAATAAAATTTCCAAGTGTATTCCAAGTATAAAGTGTATTCGTGGAAGGTACCTATAGGCTTTATTTCCTTAAATCACTGTGTTGCTGAAATATAAATAATAAGAATAGATAAAGATAAAGAATGGACAAAGAATAAAAGATAATATAATAAAACAAAAGAGTAAATGAAAGATAAAGAATTTAAAATATTAAATTATTTTAGTAAAGATTTAGTAAAGTGTGATAAAAGTAAATAAGTATTCTAAATAACTATTCACAGCGATATGTGCTATCATTATGTTCATGAAGGTATTGCTTTCATGAGGCAGTAATTTAAGTAGTGACTGACATTTTACCCTACGTAAAATTATTAATGCCAATTGCAAATTGCGTCTGTTTGCGACATCAATCAAAAAGTATTACTGTTTGCATTATCAACCGCAAAAGGGTAGTTCGTCGACGTTTGCTGTGTAATTTCTCATGTATTGACGGAAAAAAAAAACAGAATTTTCATACCTGTCAAGCATTAATAAGTTCTCGAAGTCAGCAAATTTTTTGTAGAACATCTCTTTAAGTGTAAAGGCATGAAACTAATTTATTAATTCATAAAAAATTACTTTGCTTAGAAGTACACTTTGTTTAGAAGCTTTGCTTAGGCGTACTATTGCGGCTTTAGCAGTCTCACAAGCCGATTGTTTACGTTCCAGTAAAATATTTTGACCTAACGTATTCTATTGAATGCGTAGAGAGTTGTCAAAGTTTGAATTTAGTGTCTATTATTGTTTAATTTAAATAGACCCAATTGGTGGTTTCGTCTGCAGCACATGTTGTGCCTTTATGTTTAACTTGTGATTAAACTAGAAAGCTTGTTTAAACCTTCTCTGGTACCTTGCACGTTGTTTCAGGCGTAGCGATAACTCGTTGTCTAGTAGGGTTGGCAAGCTCCAGTTACAATAGCAACCTTACAAAGTATTATATCTATTTTGTGCTCTTATTGTCATATACTGTTTCTAACGCATTCCTTTTTAATTATTGCAGCTAGGAAAATTTCAACCATATGCTTTAGGAAGCTTTTTGCGAGCGAGATACGAAAACTTCATCACTTCTGATCCTATAGAGGTAAGATTTTCGAGTCCGATGAACATTCCGATAATTATCCTTAAAATTCATGAAACAGTTTCGTAAAATTAAGACCGCTGTGAATTACTTTTACCTAAATTTATAGGTCAAAACAGCATCAGACTAATTTCGCTTTGTTCAAATATGTGATGTATTTTTCCGTAATCTTCCACCCTCGCATCCTAACAATAAATATCACTTTTTATCCAATCACTTAATTTATAGATATATCGCTTAATTTATAGAAGAAATAGAATGCTTCTATTTAATAGAACGTGTCATTTAAATATATTTCTACATTTCTATACTTGAGATCAAGGTCTTTTATTTCGATTACATTATCATGTTGATGCTCAGAAGCAAATAATGAATTCTTTTCAGGTTGAAGTATTCAGTTCTGCAAAAAGAGCTACTGTGAAAAGTGCGCAGTCATTAGTTACAGCTCTATACGCGCCCAATCCATACTGGGAAGTGGTCAAAAATTTTTCTTGGCAGCCCATCTACATTAAGTACGAAAATGAAGACGAAGGCAAGGTAAGTGCTTACATAATTATTAGATAAGATGGCATATTTCGAAATAAGATTTTGAAGATAGTGAAGAGGGGAAGAGATAATCCGAGGGGATTTTTAATAGTAAGAGAAATCTTCATATGAAACTTCCGGATGCGCCAAATTTATGTGTACTGTGCTTCGCTTCTTGAATTATGCCCAGAGATTCTCAATTTCCATGACAATACCAGTTTCCATCAAAATATACAATGACCAGTTTCCATCAAAATATACAATGACCAGGTTCCATCAAAATATACAATGACAATACCAGTTTCCATCAAAATACAATGACAATACCAGTTTCCATCAAAATATACAATGACAATACCAGTTTCCATCCATTTTAGGGCCCATAAGCAGCCGAGCAGTAACAGCTGCTGGACACTGGTAGTTCGGTACGCGGTTCGAGTCCCGGCAAACGGGTTGGCTATATGGGCGTTTTTCGTGGTTTTCTCCATGTGTAACGTGGATCCGAGCCAGTTTCCCTTAAAAAGACTTCCACGGAGGGGCATCTCTCTCTTTCCATGTAGTGTCTAAGGGCGGAGCAGGTAATAATTAAAGAAAAATGTTGTCCATTTCCATGAGCAACAGCCATTTTGAAATCATTATGAAGAAAATGTCTTTCTTATCGTCTGCTCGGGAACATATTTTTCAGAGGGAAACACCCAAGAGAGGATATTAATTTATTAATTATCAATGATCTCCTCCTATCTTATTTGAAAAGCATAACAAGAATTATCCATATATTCTTAAACAAATCTAATTCTTAAAGTTATAACAGTCCAGAACAGATCATAGTAGTCTACAACTTATAGTCTACAGCCTAACATGGAGTGTTATTTCTGTTCACAGTAAGTTACACCATACCACAAGTGGTCTCTATCATTATATTTAATTTCTAAATATTGTTCTTAAAATTACCCTTTACAAAATACTGAATAATGACTACGTAATGCTAAATGTTATTACATTTTACAGCAGTTTTGTCATTCATTCACGCATTAAGAGAGATCACTTATTGCATTTCAGATTCGAGTTTCACTTTTGTTTGGAAAACAAAATGTGTCAAGTATTGATACAGCCTGTCTATCATAAGAAAAGCTCTCGCCAATTAGTCTGAAGCTGTCTGTTGCCATAGAAACGAGCCTCGATCCATTTTCCGTAAGGATGTCTTGAAGATTTACTTTTCAGTTTGCCATCTTGGCGTATTTAAAGATGAATTGGCAACCTTGGTTTGCCCCTGTTTGAAATATACTGCCCCTGTTACTAGAGCGACCGCCACCCTCCAGACACTGTGGCGGGACATGTTCTCGTAGACAGAGAATAGCTGATGATCGTTAATTTAACAGTAACTCCGTTTCATTGGAGTAAAATACGTCTAAACTTTTAAAAAGACTATCAAAATTTAATTCAAGAATTCGATTTTCCTGGTGGATATTGCGAAAACTGAAATTATTGTTGAAATTCCAATAGCTGATTAGTCAAGACTAGTATGCATCCTTCAGTTGGCACTAAAAAGTTAGCTGTAGAGTCATTAGGTTTTTCTGAAGCAGGAATATATGAAAAATGAGCAGTGCCCTCGTCGTGACTCGAACTTGGACCTCTCGAATACGCGCCGAGTGTGCTAACCGTTACACCACGGAATAATACCACGCATACTGGAAAGAGGAATAACGTACTTAAAATAACCCCCGTATTTTATAAAAATACTTTAGAAAATAAAGGATTTAACATCCTGTATAACAGTAATCGACTCTATTTTCTAAATTTTCCTGTTGTAAGATCATCTTCTTTGTTCGTTCTCGAAATTCATCTCTGATTTTTATGGGGACTCTACGCTACTTCTCTGAATTACAAAAGATTATAAACTGCAAAGAGTGAATTACAAAAGACCACATAAAAGTACAGAACTATGAAAGAAGATGAGTAAAATCACTTCCGGTCTAACTAATGAATTCTACATAAAGTTATTAATCAGAAATATAAAACTAAATTGATGTTTTTGTCTACTATGCCTTCTGATAAAATTAAATTGACTTCTTTTGTTCTATGCAGTACTTTTCCAAACCATTTTGCCTCGCTGCAGATACGGAATATGAACAACTTCTGGCTAGAGATTCGGATGTAATCTTGCAGACATATCAGGTAGGGTAATCTTTTATGGATTTAAATAACGTTAAAAATTTCCTACATTTAATTAAATTTTAAAGTAAATTTTACATAACCATAGTTTTAAAAGGTCCTTCGTTTTACTTTATTTATAAAGTGTCATTTAAAAAGTTTTAAATGAGAATGTTTTTCTTCACTTTGCTTCGTTTATTGCCATTTCATTCTTATGACCAATGTAAAAGGTCCTTCAGTTTTGTAGTTTAGAGATACTTAAAAATGTCTTGATAATAATCCTTGAAATTACTTTTTTGGTTTCTCAGTTTATTTTTAATAATGCAGCATTATTTTCAAGTAGTATTTCCAAGAACAATACTGAAATTTGGATTTTATTTGTCCTTTTTCTTTCCCTCTTCTGTTTATAATTACGGTGTTACATTTATTGTGTTCATTTCAATTTAATTCTTATCATTATAATTATATATGATTATAATATATTCTTACAACTCTTAATGTAACTAAATTCTTTACATGTGTTTTCTTTTTAATTCAGCCATTTTAAAAAGAATAATTTTCTTGCAACCATAAAATTACACTGCCTTTTACTATGTATTTTGATTTTAAGTGAAGAACTTTTGCTATGAAATTTTATGCTACTCAGTTTTATTTTTTAAGCAGCCATGAAGATCAGTTGTAAGAAGTTTTCGTCTGGCAGAGTTGAGCAAATATTTCCTCAGATTCTAGAAAACATATTTCTGAGAAATACCTTAATTTTATTAGATTTTTCACTTCGTATCTTCACTTTCCCCTCTACCCTTTCGGTAATACTGACTAAGAATGTTAACTATTTTGAAGCTCAAGGGCACATCAGAAATGATGATATTAACATTGATCGTGAAATCTAATTTTCTCAATAGACTTAGAAGAGCATAAATATGAGTTCAAAATATGAAAAACTGTTATTAAGTGTCAGTATAAAGAGCAATTTAAACATATAATTAACTTTCATAGAACTCTCTTTAAAATTGTTATAGTTAATGGCATTTACTATATAATACGCAGAATTACAGTTACGAGAATATATCTTTTTTTATAATAATATGAGTCTTTTGAGTTTACTATGAGTTTTTTATTATAGAATATTTATGAAATATTTTATTATTAAAAACATTCTAAACTACTTGATCTTCATGTCCCCTTCCGCGAAACCGCAAAGTTATATAAACCGCATGAAATCATAATAGTCTTTTTTCAGTTTAAATATTTATGTAAAAAACACTACTTTGACATTCGACCTGTATTTGCCAAATATGAGAAACCGCGTGATATTGTAGCAGTCTTTTCTCAATTAGAAATTGTGAAAAAAATGTTGATAATTTTTAATTTACCGTGGAAGATGCCATGTCGTCTTCATGAAAAAGATATCTTACATCGCAATCGAATGTGCGTAAAAATGGCCACGCAGTGAAATTATATGTAGATAGATGAAAGCATGTCGAGGAACAAAATGTAAAGTTGTAAAAAAAAAAAAAAAAAAAAGAGCATTCAATCCGGCAACTGTTTTAGTGGTTCCAGAATACCATTCCTAACAACAGCGCTGCATTTCTGCTGAGCAGAGAAACTAACACTGCTTAATTGGTGCGATAAATAGTTCAGTATAACTATGTCAAAATACCACGATTGACTGGAGATATTTTATGACAGAAGTTGTTTTCGCTAGAGTTACTTCGACAACCTAAAGGGCGGATAAGCGTGCTAGAAAAATAGTAGAATTTGACAAGATTTTTTTTTCTTGTGGCGAAAAAACAACGCTGGCAGGATAGATCCACGTCGGTGGTTATTCTGTTGTGAAAGTGGCGAATGCTTTCTTGTTAAGGTTCCAAATCCGGAAAGAAGCGGACTGATATCAACCACGTAGTGGAAGGATCACACAGACCACGTAGTGGAAGGATCGGCAGTATATTCAGATTGCAGACTGATATTAACAATAGTAGACCAGTTGGTAGAAGCATCGACAGTATATTCAGATTGCAGACGTATCAATGATTCCAGACCACGTAGTGGAAAGATCGGTAATATATTCAGATTGCAGACTGATACTGACGATTGTAGGTCACTTGATGGAAGGATCGACAATATATTCAGTCTTCAGACTGATATTAACGATTGGAGACCACTTGGTGGAAGGATCCACAATATATTCAGATTGCAGAGGGGGCAGATGGAAGACTGATATCAACAATTGGAGACCACTTAGTGGAAGGATCGACAATATATTCAGATTGCAGGTGGGAACTGATATCAACGATTGTAGACCACGTAGTGTAAGGATCGACTATATATTCAGATTGTTGGCGAACCTATAAAACAGACGAGCTTAAAAAGGCTCGTTACAGCATTTTAATTATGAATCACAAATTTACTTTGGTTGATCCAACAACGGGTGCTCAAACCCCAAATATGGAAAGATTGTGGGGCTCTTTTAAATAGCGAAACAAAAGGCAAAGGGGAATCGCTCCACATCATCTAGAATAGTATCTTTCGAAATTCATATGGCGGAATCCTCTGAGAAAGGTAAGCCTTCTGATGTGCTAATCGAGAAGATATGGCAGCCGCAATGCGAGTAGTTTAAACATGGCGATATTCTTGCCACCGTTTTGATAAGGGAAACCGCGAAAATCAAGTAGTACCGACTTTATAATAATATTAGTTTAATATGAGATTTTATAATAATATTAGTTTAATATGAGATTTTATAATAATATTAGTTTAATATGAGATTTTATAATAAAATATTTATGAATCGTTTTATTATAAAAACATTCTAAACATATATTCTTCTTTTATAGACATTAATTCAGTTTTGGCAGACGAATAGTGGATTAGAGTTGAAAAATTTAGAAGATGTAGAAAACCTTTTTGATATCCTGAAAACTGAAGTAAGTCACAAAAACAACACATTTTTGAAGTTTATGTTAATCCATAAATAATGTACTTGCTAATTCAAATACTGAAAGTTTATATGATTTGATAGAAAAATCTGAGGTAGTATAGAACAGAATAATGCAACTATACAACATACAATATATAGCAACAAGTCTTGTTTGGCTTTCATGTTTAAGATGTTTATCTGTAATAAAATCCAATTCCATAACTATTTTAAAATAACTTGGTCTTAATAAATTTACTTGGTCTTCTTTTATCTTATTTTAATTAAAGAAAACTGCGGTCTATTCTTGCATTTTGAGAAATTTAAAGTATACTTACAATGAAATTATTCTCAGAGCCAATAACGCAGTGGCTGGACAACAAAATCCAAATAGTTGCATCTGGGGTACATTGCTTTATTTAAATAGAGTAAGCCTTTTTCTGGAAGACAACATTGAAGCTCTGAGCAGAATACAGAACATTATTTGAAGGTGAGTGAATAAAACAGAGGCTAGATAACAAATTCGAAATGTTTTCCTGTAGACGGTAATGCTTTATTAACAGGTAATGCTTTATCTCACTTTCAGAAGACAATACTGAAGCTCATAGCACATAATACAGAGCACATACATAGCACATAATATTCATAGAGTGAGCCAGTAATACAAAGGCTGGACAACAAAAATGAAGTACTTACTTGTAGAGGATAAGGTTTTAAGTACAGGGTGGTTTAGTTTGGTTTATTGAGATTACGGCAAAGCAAACTAGGGCTATCTGCCTGAGGGGAGGGATGCCTTCGCGGAGGTGTTTCGCTGAGGGAAGGGATGTCTTCGTGGAGGTGTATACACGTTACACATGGGGAAAACCACGAAAATGCCCATGCAGCCAGCCCGTTCGCGGGATTCGAACCTCGGACCGAACTACCAGTGTTAAACGACTTCACCGCTCGGTCGCTGGTGGGCGCTTAAGTACAGGATGATTCAAAAATAATCCAGTAAAAATATAAAAAAACAGATTGAGCAGACCCAAATAGCAGATTTTGTAACAAAATGCATTTGCGGAAATGGCACGTTGATGTGGCGAAAAAGCTGTTGAGTGGTAGATAAAAGCATTTTAATGTCGTAAATAGCCATTCCCAGCGCGAATTTCGACCATCACTACACAAACGTGAAGGGTGCTTTCGTGGAGGTCTTTCTAAGGGAAACTGGCTCGTATGCACGTTACTCATGGGAAAACCACGAAAACATCTATGCAGACAGCCCGTTCGCGGGATTCGAGCTTCGGACCGAACTACCAATGTTCAGCGACTTTACCGCTCGGCCGCTGGTGGGCCTTCGAAAGGAAACGGAACAGTTACTTAAAAGAGGCACAGGATTCATTCTTGGTACTTCCTTTGAGTAGATGCTGTATTTTAGCCGCAGCCGCGTAAATGAGCTGGATATCGGCAAGCTCGGCGTTCGGGTAAGAATGCATACCGCTCTAAACTTATGTAGAGAATGACAACTTATGCCCACTCAACAACCCCTGTACTACCTCAAGGTTCCACCTTCGCATACACATTCTGTTATCAAATCTTCATATTTCGATCTCATCTACATTCTTTCCGGTTATTTTTTAACCCTTTGCGGCACAGTGTGTCCGGTCTGGACACACCTAAAAATTTCCTACTGTACGCACTGAAAAAATCAATGAAAAAGGATTTATAGGTTACTATAGGTTACTCTGAACCTTCTTTATTTATAGTAGATGGCAGATCAAGACAAACCCGTCCATATATTTTAACCATGTTTAGTTTTTTAAGACCCTCATTTTTCAAAGAAATCTTCCAGATTTTTTTAGGGTATAAAAGGAGTTGTTTGAAACGAAATTTCAATGTTATTTTTTTGGCTGTATTCTAATCTCCTTATTTTATATTAGTTTTAAACTTTTACCTTGAAATCTTGCCTAAAATCAAACGGCGAACCCTAGGTGGAACCGAGCTCACCGATAATCAACTGACAGTCTGTTTCTCCGCATCTCATTGGTCAGTTCATTGACAACGATGCTGTTTCAGCACTCTTTTCGAAGCTCTATTCAATCAGTGGGCGACTTTGGGCACACCTACAGAATTAAAACGATAAGTGCTATCTTCACAAAATTTTACTTGTGTGCTCCTCTAGGCTTAATTAGACTGCCTACCTTTATTTATTTATTTATTTATTTTTTTTTAATCAAAACTCCGACTTTAAAAAGTAGCGTGCCGGAAAGGGTTAATCAACCTATGTAGCGTAGGCGAATTTTTTGATACTCCAATTTTATTTTTACTGGAAATGATTGGTCCAAGTTTTAAGGTTTTTTTAGCCATTTCTTTTCCCTTTTATGTTAGTAGAAGAGGGAAATTTTTTCCAATCCTGCAACTCAAAACAAATTAAAGGAGTTGAGAGCAGAATACTGCCTAGGATGTGTAGGTTTCCAAATTCTCTTTTATGTTATTTAAATCACTTTGTGAGAAGTTTTGCAGTATGAACTGGTGTATTTTCATACTGGTGTACCTAATACGAGGTGATACTTCGAAATATTATATTTGAACAAATGGGTGATCTTGCTGCTTTAAAATATATTGATAGCCCTTGAAAGAGATTTGACCATCAAGAGAAGTGATCGATCTCTGAGACTTCCACAGCAGTGTGACCTCAAACCATTTCTAATTCATCTTCGTGCTAAACTCTGATCAGATACAGGCTATTTAAAAATTTTATGTGCACAGATATGATTCTGGATACTGCCTTTCGGTTCTGTCCAATTTCCTGTACACTTAATGTTATTTTATACTGTGTAGAGTCATTAGGTTTTGATGCTGGAAACGTGAAAAATGAGCAATGTTCTCGCTGGAACTCAAACCTGAACCTCTCGAATACGCATAAAGTGTGCTACCGTAACATCACGCAGACATGCTGGAAGGCGAGAGAAACACTTGAAAAATGTGCAGCGTAGGACGGACAATATATTGATGAATTATAAACGGGCATTTTCCTCCTGTACTTTGAGTGAAAGGTCAGGATTGATTAGAGAAATATTCAAAAATGTCATCACTCCAATAGTCATGTACGGCATTGGAGCGAGGAATTCCAGAGCAGGGAAACTGAAAAAATTTCGTTAAAATTAGATTCTATCCAGGTGGGCTGGTGCCTGCTTTAGAACAGTTTCTAACGAGGTGCTCTGTGTCTTGGCTGGATACGAGCCAAAGACTGGAGTAATAGACATTTATACTGATGGCTCCGGACAGGATAACAATTATGGTTCAGCATTCGCAGTACTTTACTGTGGAATTGAATTGACTATGGAAAGTATAGACTGAATTGTGATAACTCAGTTTTTCAATCCGAATGCTGTGCATTCAATAAAGCCTTGATGTGGATTAAAGAAATTTAAGTGTTCCTACTCATTTAGTATTAAACAGGTTATCTTTTCTTCTTACGGTCATTGTCTAGTTCGATTTCTAAAAATCTATTAATTAATGAAATGAAAGAAAATTTAAGAAATATAAAGAAGAAACAGTGTATTTTGTTACATTAGGTCAAAGCTCATGTGGGTTTTGCCAGCAACGAGAGGGCAGACGTGCTGGCTAAGGAGGCGGCCATGGTGGACAATGAAAATTTGATAGAAATATCCGTTTCAAAGAAATATGCAATTAAAGTAATGCAAAAACATTATCTTGGTAAATGGTCTCAACAATGGAACAGTTCAATAAGAAATAAGGGCTTATTGGAAAATATAAAAATAACTCAAAAATGTCAATATATAATGATATAGATGTAAATCAGTTTGTAACAAATCATGGTAGATTTCCGGAGTATCTTAGAGATTTGGTATACAGAAAAATTCATTATGCTTAGCTTGCAATTCACCTGACTCCGGAGAGCACTTGAATTACTTGAGCACTTGAGCATTTGAATATAAATTAACAGAAAATGTACGACTACAAATGAAAATTGCAAATTTTGCAAATATAAGTTATAATAAATTATGTAAGTTTGTCAAAAACATTGTAGGAGTTATTAAGGGTAAACGGAGTGCTTGTGGTGTTTTTATATAAGCAAAATTACAACTATATTAACTAAAAATTGTCTTTTATTGTATTTTTATTTGTATTTTAGTGATCTTAGAATTTTTTAGAATTGATTTGGAGTTTTTATTTGTAATTTTATTCACTTATTGAGATACTAATGATTTTATGCCTTATGATGCTTATTCTATATGTTACATGTTCTTTTTCCTTGATATCTGTTAATTGTGTGGATATAGTTTGTGTTTTAATGTTGTGATTGTGTGTGAGTTTGTTTTGTGGTGAACTTAGAGGCGACTAAAACAAGATCATACGGTTTATTTTTAGACCAGCTGGAATTGGATCGTATTCCTCTCATTCATACCTTATGTACTCCGCATTTTAAAGGGCGACTAGGAATTAGGGTAGGGTACCCAACGTTAAATCCTGGTGGTGACTAATTATTGTTTATCACCTTTATCTTTAAAATCTTTTATCTCTTTAATATGTATTATATAGTTATATGTAGTTATTTACATGTAATTACATGCTTAAAATGTATTATATAATTACATGAATCTTAAGTTGAATTCAGTGAGTTCAGAGCAGCGTAAATAAAAGCATAAAAAACTTAATTTATTAAGGGTTCGTGTAAACAGCTTTTCTTTTGACATGTTTGTAACTGAGTATATATATGTTTTTTAAGTTATTTACAAAATTTTGTTCATTTATTGAATACGTATGTTTTTTTAGAAAAGTAAGTTTCATTTCTTTGAAGTAGCTTGTTTCTGAATAAAAATTTGGCATTCAAATAAAAATCTGACATTTAGAAAGAGTGATGAAAATAGCATGGTGAGCCTGGAGCTAATATACAGATTAAGGCATTCAAATTATGTCCATCCCCACATTTTCCAATTAACTCGTCTGGATAACGTAAAAGGCACGTGAGAAAGTGGGAGAGATATTTAACTGCTGCTGGAAAATGTTAGGAATCATACTAAGAAGCTTTTCATTTTCAAAAATAGATGGAGCCACATGAGCACATTCTTATCTTCTAAGTTTACTTATCTCTCAACAGATGGCGGCACTGGAGCCTTCATTAAAAATCTCTGAATTCTAGCACAGTATGGGTACAAGTACGTTCCTATTCTAGTAGATTCGACTCCCTTAATCCTCAAGATTTAGAAAAGTCAAGAATAATATATTGGTAAAGGCCGCAATAGGCCGATTACCTCTTACCCGAAGTTAAGACATAAGACATGTTAGGAATCATTCTTGCACTTACTTTTGTGAGTGACAGGAAATGTTGCTGATCTAAGCAAATTTGATAGAGGGCAGATTGTAATGACCCGAAGACTCGGAACGAGTGTCTCGGAAACTGCGCAATGAATAGGGTGCTCACGATCTACCGTTGTTAGTATTTATGCAAAGTGGATAAATGACAGTGAAACCAGCAGTAGACGTCAAGGTGAAGAACTTCAGTGCATAATTAAAAAAAGTGACGTCGGAGACTGTCCCGCTTGCCCGACAGCAAAATCAGCGCCAGACAGTGGCTCAGATGACAGCCCAATACATTACAGGTCCAAGTGCAAGTGTTTTGGAACACACATCTCTCCACACAGTGCGGATACTGTGTGGAGAGATTAGATTATTTCGAAGCAAGAGAGATGAAAAATCAGCAATGCCCTCGCCGGGACTCAAACCACGGACCTCTCGATACCCGCCGATCGTGCTGACCACTACACCAAGAAAGCTTGCTAAGAAGGCAGGAGAAATACCTTATATATTATAACCTTATAGACTCCCCCTTTTAAAGGCGACTTGGGATTAGGGGACGCAATCGCCAAATCCTGGTGGTGGAGAATCATCATCCACTACCGTTTTTAGTTCGCGCGCCAGTCTAGATACATTAGGTATTTTTTTAAACAGGAGACAGGAAAAATGAGCAACGCCCTCGCTAGGTCTCGAACGAAGGACCTTTTAAGTGTGCTGACCACTATACCACGAAGGCATGCTAAGAAGGCGGGACAACTACGCCTAACTACAAACGTGATTGTCAACTACGCCTACAGTGGGCTCGGGAAGCATATTTCACAAGTGCACATCTGTGTAGCCACCGAGGGAGTGGCTTCTAGGATGGACCAATAAGAATCCAGTAATATTTCTGTCATGTCACATGACCTTTCGGGTGCTTTAATATTTAAGAAAGATGGTCGAAAATATTCTGCTACGCAATTTTCCATGTGATAAATATCTGAACCCAAATGCAATCTTTACATAAGACCTAAGCGTATCGGAAAAATATTTACAACAATTATAAATGTAAATGGAAGTCAGCAATTTTTTTATTGCAGTCTATATGAAAAAGATGTTTTATAATAATAACCAATGCAGAATTTTTATTCAAAGTGAACTTTACTCATTTGCATTCGTATACATTTAGCGCGTTAAATTTCATATTTAATAAATGTTCACTCTTAAATGTACTGTCTACACAAGAAATGCTCATCAAACAGAGTGAATTTATCGTATTCACAACGAGTATATTCAATTTATTCACATATAATTTTTAATGCTAACAATGGATATAATCAGATCATATGTATTCTGAATCTTACACTTTAAAAATCAAAAGAATGCAAGCACTGAAATAAGAAAACACTAGATTCATTGTAACACTTTCAGTCATTCTCATCACAATTAAAAAAAAATATACACTTGAATTCTCTTAATCCACATAATATGCCGTGAACATCAATCCTAATATTATGCGTGAAAAAATTCGCGAAAGTGAAATGTCAGCGATTAATCAAACTCAGAAAATGAAAGCACTACGAGATTTTCTACTGTTGCGCCATATATTTATAACTGCGAAACAAATGCAAATTAAAACGCAACAATATACGCTCACAAGCACGAAGATTTAGTGTCACAAGAGCAATAGCAGCTCATTGGTCCATTTTCGAAACCCCTCCCTCAGTGGCTACGCTGATGTGCACTTGTGAAATATGCGCTCGGGAACATCGAGACTGGACCATTGATAAGTCTGGTCGGATGAATCACGATTTCTCATTCACCACATCGATGATCGTGTCAGGGTACGCCGTCTTCCAGGCAAACTGTTGCTCTTCCTTGTACAACAGGCTACACACATGTTGCTGGTGGTGGTATCATGCTTTGGGAAAGTTCTTATAGGCGGCTCTGGGACCCTTAGAAATGGTAGAACAGGCCATGAAAGCTGTGGTCTATCTAAACATAATTGCAAATCAGTTGCGCTTTTACATGGCGACTGTTTTTCCATCTAGAAATGGGGAACCTTCCAGCAGGACAACACCCCATGTCACAGGGCTCAAATTGTGTTGAGTGTTTCGAAAAGCATAGAGATGAATTCCAATTAATGTTCTGACCACCTAACTAGCCCGATCTTAAAACTATACAGCACATTTGGGATGTCAGTGAGCGGCAGCTCACAGCTCAAATACCACCATGTCGAAATACCTCGTCTTTGTGTGACGCTGCTTAGACATTTGGTACAACGTGTCTCCAGTCATCCACCAAGAACTTGTGGCATACATGCTAGAGTGAGTTGCAGCTTTTTTCCAGGCCAAAGGTCGCGCAAGTCGTTATTGAGAAGGTGAACACAATATTTTGGCTACTTAAGTATATGTCTCATCATAAAAAAAAATGTATGGTTGATAACGTTGAAATGCATGCTTGACAATGATAGATAACTTTAGTTACCTTACGCCATTGGTCAGCAACATGTTATAAGCATCTCGTCTTTAAAACAACGGTCTATTTAGAAGATTTTTTTCATCTCTAATTTCTTTCTAGGCTACCTATAATTTGACAGTTCCAGAGTGGGCCAAAAATTCCTGGACTGATATGCGTTACCTTCACGATTTCTCTTACGCTTGGAAATTCAAGACAAGGCATTTGCAACGACTGCGAGGAGGTAAACGATTGTAGCTCTGATCATACTTTTAATTTAAAATGGATACTAATGATTTACTTATAGATAGGTAGAATATATTTTTATCCTTAAACATGTTAAAGATTTTAATTCCTTTTTGCTATTCTTTTGTGAGAGTATAGTTTCCTGTGAATGATACTTGTAGGATTCTATTATCTTTACTTAAGTATTTTAATTTGTCATCTTTTCCTTCCTGTCTGCTTTCCCTGGCGAGCGTGTGAATAAGTTAGGGTGTGTAATTAAACTTGAAAGTTCTAGTTAATTTATGTATCCTTAGCTACTAGAACTTTAGTGAAGTGTCTAGCGACTATTCGCTGGTCTTCTTACAACTGTGAAATACAAATCCAAAGAAGGGTCAGAAGAAATACAATTCCAAAGAAGGGTCAGAAGAAATACAAATCCAAAGAAGGGTCAGAAGAAATACAAATCCAAAGAAGGGTCAGAAGAAATACAAGTCAAAATACCCTTTTATTCCTTCAAAGAAATATTACAGACGAATTCACAGGAAAGTCTCCAATTGGGCTTTAGCTCAAGATAGAAAATAAAAAAACTGACTCAATTCTAATTAGTAGCTAAACTTTAGCCGAAGCTGTACAAAAATAACTAACCAAGTTGGCCCGTAATTAAACCTCACCGGTGAATACCAACATTTACGGCCGAATGTAGCAAGATAGGCTTAAAGCAACGGACTGGCCCGAACGCAGAACACGCTGTACTGAGAACTTCCTAGCTCTCCTACGGAAGTGACCGAACTTCCCATTAAATACTGGCTCTACTTCATTTACATAAAATGCGATATGGAAATCTCATTCTGGAAGCGAGCTGTAGATGGAAAACAAGAATTTAAAAGAAAGGTTTTCAAAATTAAAAATAATTATTAGAAAATTAAAATAATTCCCACAAACTGAAGTAGCGAAAAGGTTAATCAGAACATATTTTCGCTATTGAGTGCGCGAGTTGCTATTGTTTCCAGCTGTTTGACTTTTGAATCTCGACTTCGCGTTATTGCCACCGAAATTATATTATTTTCTCGCCGGTGTAGGTTTCTGGGTCAGCCTGCTAGGTAAAATTAAGTTGTGTAGACTTGCACTAATAGTTACATTTAAATGCTGAGATTGATAACATAATTTTTAATTCGGTCCATGCATCCACATGCAAAGGGAGAGAAAAAGCCGCTTATACAGGATTATTCAGAATTCATCATAAATATTTGGTGGGGAGATAGGGAATAGGAAAAGAAGGAGATTTCACATAGGAAATGCATGGGCGCATATTCCATGTAGTAGGGCAAAATGACCCAGTTCAATAATGGAAAGAACACATAAAAAGGAAGTAGTAAGGGAAAAAAACATTTATTATCTTACATGCAACATTTCTTTGCATCGGTTTTACAGACCTACAAGAGGTGCTCGAACTGCTGACCATGTACTAGAATGCATGACTCACAATGGCGTTGCATGGACAACCGGACCTTCTGGAATATGCCTGGCATTTACATGCATATCTGCAAGTTCATTCCACGTATACCGGTTCATGTTATTTCTGCAAATTCACCTAGTCGAATGACGACTGGCTGCACACATCAAACAGTTCCGCTTATGTATGGAAGTTGTATACACATAGCGCCCTCTACAACACCATGCGTTCGTCTGCGCCCATACTTTCCTATGTGAAATCTCCTTCTTTTCCTATTCCCTATCTCCCCACCAAATATTGAAGATGAATTCTGAATCACCCTGTATATTTAACAACTATCTGGCCTTTTTAATTTTTATCATCCTGTAGATAGAAGGAAATTTAGTTCATTTGCTTTCGAGAATACATCTAAAAGATATATCAATGCAGTTAGACGCATATTATTGGTAAGAAATTCTTCATTAATTCGCTTATAAATAACGAGATTAATAATTAAAATATTTGACAACCAGCGAACTTTAGAATGAAGAATCATATACTAAGGCTGTCCAAAGGCTTTTTCTTAATCAAGTTGATTATCTTTATGTTGTCTTCTAACACAGTTCTGGATTTAGATGACAAACACTTGGTGACCAAGACTTCCATATGAACGAAACGTTGGGCCCAGGTAACGTCAAATGCCAACAACTCAGCTTCAGTTACAACAATCTTTGTCTGTCTTAATTTACTTTGTCGGAAAGCTGCAGTGGAAATATTCAGAGCTTAAACTGCGTCAGTGCCTGGCTCCGTTGCTTCTCAGTTTCTAAGGTGCATCGTAATTATAGCCAGAGAACAACCGCAGCCCTAAATAAAAGAGCACTTTTTTTATGTGAGTTAAACGCAGTTTCAGCGGGTAAATTTTGTTTGAAAAAGAAGTGATCGAGGCTAAGGCTTTTAAGAAAAGTCTTCAGTACACGTGTCAAAGGCTTATTCTTTAGGTACTGCAATGGATTTGTAACAGTTTTGTTTCCGAAAGTACTAAAAGTGATTGCCTTGCTCTTGCGCATCCAACACTAGTGACTTTCACTGCAGAGTGTAGCCAAATACGGGGACAAAAATTGACCCTTGTGCAGAGCTTTCCTTTGTTCTCATTCGGAATTTTTTGCCCTGCCGGCCTTCTACTCGTCTGCTAAAATTATACTGGCAGGTAATTGTGTTCAGAAAGCGTTGGACACTTCTCTCTTTGTTTTCGGAGTTACAATTCTCCATTAAAATTTCTTTCATTACTCTCATATTGCTCCTAGAATTCTCTCTGTTCTCATTAGTGATGATTTATTCATTTTACTTTTTTCCACTGGTGTGCTGGAAAAAAAAATGGTTTTTGTTTCACACACCCCTTTAAGTAGTACGTTATATCTTATAATTAGGGCTTGAATTCAGCCTTAGACAGGCTGAGATACTCCTTAACTTTTTAATGAAATTGCGAGTGCAGCCGGAGCCCCAAATAAGACGAGGTTTGATATTTCTTTTATTTAACTATTTATTATGAATTTAATAATTTATTAAACCTTTATATTTCATAGAATTTTAATTTAATTTAATTATTAGCCCAAAGGGCGTTAGACCAGAAAGACTATTAATTTCGTTTTGGCATTTTGCGTTCAAAACTTTAAACCTCCGTTCACTCTCCAAACTGTTGCCGCCAAATATTACAGTCCTGAGTTACATTTAAAGAAATTAAGTAATGAAGAATCTGCGTAAATGTATGTATATTTCTAGCATTTATGATAAAACGACAATTTCCATAGCCATCAAATTTTGAATAACGTACGCTTCCACCCGAATATGAGCATCTGGAGGCCCAAATTTGGAATTTGGGTTTTGTTTCATTATCTATTTAACATTTTGTAAAACGTTTGATCAACAAACTCAACGATTTCAAAGAGAGCAATGGCAACACTGTACGGAAAAGAAACATTTCCATCTCCAGCGCACGAGACTGTATATCGGAAATTCTAAAGATATGTCGTAAACTATTTTGCGATATTGCTGTTGAACTGAATTTTATGGTTTAGGTGTGAAAAACAGGATATTTAATAAATAAAGGTACTACATAAAACATTAAAAAAATGCCCTTTTGGGCGTAATGTAAAATCTGAAAGCTTTCAGATTTTTTAATTATTTAAATTATTAGTTAGTTAATTTTTTTATTTATTTATATTTTTCTTTTTTTTCTAACGGCGTAGCATGGGCTCCGACACGTCTGATTTTAGAATTTAAGCCCTGAAAATATTCAAAGAATAACCTCCACACTGTTTCCAGCTGCTTTATGTGATCCTATAGAACTTAATAAGTAGGTTCTCCATTTGTATGTAGATGACAGTCTTTGAATGTAGCATTACCTTTATGAATATCATCATAAAACTGGGATGGTCTCCGGCTAGGTTACGTGTGCGGCACCAGAATGTGCAGCAAAAGAAAGCTTAAATGCACCGCAGTCATACAATTTTAAATCTCTCTTTTGTAGCTAAAATTAGAGTGGGAAGTTCATAGGTAAGGTAATCGGCAATAAATTTCATAAAATTTCAGTCCTAGGAGAAAAAATAATAGATGGTTGCTATGTGTTATTTCCAAACTCTGAGATTTTTAAGCTATAGAGTGGTATACTCACTAATTTCAGTTTCCTTTTTTGTCTTTTTTTTTTATTTATATTTATTTATTTATTTATTTGTAAATCGAGGAGGACCCCAAGAGTAGACTTGGATGAATATTTGTGGTTTGTGAACTACGTTGAAAGAAACATTTCCGGGAAACTTCGCTTTCAGCAAATCTGATTGGTTGACTTACCCCAAAACTTTTCAGAATTAAATGCATTGTGTTCTTCCGCCTACTCTCAACACAGTATGGGCATTTTCGCCAGTGTTATAACACAGCGTCCAACGAGAATGTTACAGAATCCTCACTTTTAAACCAGCTGGTAAAACTCGTTTCTCGGAAAGTTTCGTCTAGCTTTGGGCGATGCTAGATGAGATAACCGCACTAAGCTTGAAGATTTGGTTGTGTTTATTTGATTATGGGTAAGCACACGTAAACTATCTGCCTTGTCTAAGGGAAGATATGCCTTCAGGGAGGACTTTCTAAGTGAAACTGGCTCGTATCCACGTTACATATAGAGAAAAACCACGAAAACGCTCATAAAACCAGCTCACTCACCAAGATCAAACCATGTCGAACTACTAGTGTTCAGCGTCTTTACCGCTTGTGGGGGAGTGCTGAAGGGCTACCTGCGGTACCGACGAAACTGGGTTGGTATTCCCGTTGCTCAAAAGTAAACCACGAAAACAATACATAGTTAGCCAAGTTCAGCAGAAGAAATAATCTCTTCAGTTATTGAGTTCAGAAGGAACTGCTGAAGGACACAATCAGTTTATCTCTATTGAATTTATCCAATACCAATTTATCTTCCTATTATATCCTGAATGTTTTGAAAGACACTTATGCTGAAATTGTATTTGAGACTAGATAAATAATAGCGGAATTAAAAAAAATTTTTTTTTACTTATTATGCTGTGAGCTCATGTTAGTTGCGCTGCGCTTTTCAAACCTAAACTACGCTCCTTATAAAACGTTGATATTAGAATTATTAAATTATTATTCAGTGGTTTTGTTCAGTCCTAAGTGTTCGGTCCTGCTCAATGTTCTTGACCATTTCTTTACAGTTATTCACAGAACTTAAAACAACAATTTCACTTATGTTTAACTTTCTTTCTTCTTTCAGCAGCATTAATTTTACAGTTAGTTTTCCTTTAGGTCCACTCGTTGATTTAACTCTTAAAACAATGAAGAAAAAAGCTGCGGGAGAGTTGGAAAATAAGAAAGTCTATATCTATTCTACGGTAAGTAATAAAACTAGGAAATTCCTGTTTAAGTTAAGAACAATCCCTCTACGAATGATGATCATTTAGAACTGAATGGAGGGTTGCTGAATTATAAATGTTATTACCAAAGAGTCAAATTTATAAACATTTTTCACTTATTTTAATTAATTATTTGTTTAAAAATCAATGGTAAAACTGTGAATATTATCAATCAACATTATTTATTGATTGATTCATAAGTCTACTTTTTATTTACTTCTATTATTAATTTTTATTGCATTGTTTTTTTCTTTATTTATTTTTATTCTATATGCTTTTTCTTTTATTTATTTCTGTTATAAAAATAAATAATAAATTTATTTCTATTATAAAATAAGTTATAAAACGATATTTTTGTAATTTGTGAAAATCGAATTTATTTTTAATGTTTTGACGTCATTTAAATTAATAGCACTTAAACATTTTAACAGCGATTTCATGTCTACTGCTGTTTTTGAAGTTACAATTCTGAGAATATTTGAAAGTGTCCCTTCATTTACTCGATTTGATAAAACAAGTATCTTCAAATGTATATTATAAAAGTCCATTTTCTAAGAAATGTGTATTCTTACGGGATAATTTTTTTTTAAAATGAGATTCAAACTTCCAGCGCTGTTGGATCACATGAAAATTAAAATGCAGCCTGAACAGCAAAATCTGCTTTTGGAAGCTGCACATTGCGTTTGAACGGATTACCGAAAATGGTCCTTTTTGTGCGCACAAAATATTTCAGCAGCGTTAATTTTACAATGAGTTTTTTTAAGGTCATCTCGTTGACTTAATTCTTAGCTGAAAAAAGAAGTTGCGAGAGACCTTAAAAGATGAGAATATATACGTACGAAACTTCTGAAAGAAATCTTGAATCAGCAATTAAACTCTAAAGTTAGATCTTCAATGAGATTTCTTTTGGAATGGTGTTTTACTGAAGAAAGTGAACTGGAAGCTTATAAGGAAAGTTCAAAGATGATTTCTTTCAAGAGTTTTTGTGGTTTCAGAATTACGAGGTTAGGTTACGAGGCTTTTTTTTATTATCTCTGGTATTCTACCAATTGATATTGAAATTTTGAGTAGCATTGCCATACAGGAGAGAATTTGCAAGCAGTCTTGTCAACTTTTCTTGACGGCAATTTTCCAGTTTCTTTTTTACAGTATTTTTTTAAAAGGAACATTATACCAGTTGCTTTCTATTCCGATGCTATTCTTGAAGAATATTAATTAATTTGTTTTACTGACGTAAGCCAAATGAATGATAAGTCAGGCCTTGCTTTTATTGTTTATTTAAATAAACAACTATACAGTATTAGTGATGAGTGCTTTGTTTTTCAGGTTGAGTTGCTGCACTTAACCCTTGCTGTGAAATGGATTCAAAATTCTTGTACGGGTTTGAGAACAATGTGCGCTTTAATATGTAGATAGCTGCGTTTAATATGTAGATATGTCTTTCTTCGCTACATTTACAACAGAAAATCGATGTTCCAGAGAAACTTGCTGTTGAAACGCAACGAGGAAATTAAAGTACTAAAAAGGTTATTATTAAAACCTTGCAAGATCTTGATATAGACACGCATTTTGCTTATGTGCTTGAGCAATGTGGAAATTTCGGAAACGACAGGCTGATGCTCTAGCAAATCTAATCATTAAGCCTTTGCGGCACCTAAAAATTTCCTTCTGTACGCACAGAAAAATTGAATGAAAAAGGATTTATAGGTTACTATGGGTTACTCTAAACCTTCTTTATTTATAGTAGATGTCAGCTCAAAACAAACCAGTCCATATATTTTAGCCATGTTTAGTTTTTTAAGACCCTCATTTTTCAAAGATATCTTCCAGAGTTTTTTTAGATTATAAAAGGAATTGTTTGAAAAGAAATTTCTGTGTTATTCTCTGGCTGTATGCTAATCTTCTTATTCTATATTAGTTTTAAATTTTTACCTCGAAATCTTGTCTAAAATCAAACGGCGAACCCTAGATGTGCCCAGACCGGGCTCACCGATAATCTACGACAACTGAGAGTCTGTATTCTTTGTTTCTCCGCATCTCATCGGTCAGTTCATTGACAACAATGCTCGTTTCAGCACTCTTTTCGAAGCTCCATTCAATCAGTGTGCCACTTTGGACTATTCCACAGAATTAAAAACGATAAGTGCTATCTTCACAAAATTTTACTTGTGTACTCCTCTAGGCCTAACTAAGACTAATTAGACACTAGGCCTCTAGGCTAATTAGACTGCCTACCTTTTTTTTTTATCAAAACTCCGACTTTAAAAGGTAGCGTGCCGGAAAGGGTTGAACTTCATATTGATTCAAATCTTCGTATTCCAATTTCTCACTGGAATTGCCTTTATAAACATGATGCTATCTATATTTTGATCAGGGAATATCTTGCGTCACCAAAAGCGCAATGGACAAAAAAGTTTTTTCCTAACAGTTTTTCACAGAATAAAAGCTGATCAGTTTTTAACAGATTTTAAATTAACGCAAATTTTGTCAAAGCATGGCAATTTTAAGAGCTATTTAAAGAGATGTAGACTTGCTTCTAGATCTTTGTCCATCTGCGGTAACTGTGAGAAGATGCTATTCATATCCTTCTTGAGTGTATTCATCATATCCAACAAAGGAAGATAAATCAAGGCACTTTAAAGCACCTAACTACCACTTACTACTTGTACCTTGACCATCAGTTTTTTTTATATATATATATATATATATATATATATATATATATATATTTCTGTGACACGAGGAGATGTAATTAGAGTTAAGCAAAATAAGAGGGGGCGAGATTTCTACGTGTTTTATGCCGTTTACGTTTTCTTGCGGCTAAATAAAGTAGCCGCTTGCAAACTCAATTGAAATAGTTTCAGTTTCTTCTTGAAGTTAGAAGCTGTGCTGGAAATTTGTATGTGAGCGAAGTGTAATCAAACGTAATAATTTCGTAAATTTAAATACATGAGACCATTCTGAAGACATTTTCAAGTAAGCGAACAAAATGTACTATTCAAGCAGTATGGAAAATAAAATCAATTGAATTAGATAAAAATAATACTGTGTTACCCCGAAAATAAGACTCAGTCGTATGTTAATTTTTTCTGCAAAAGACACTATAGAGCTTATTTTCAAGGAATGGCTTATTTTTCATGCACAATAATTAACATTTTCTGTTCAAGAAATATATTTCTTCAGGTTCAAGAGATACATTTATCCAAGTTAAAGAAATACATTTATTCAAGTTCAAGTAACATTCACAAATGACTAAAATCATTTGTTTATTCTATGTCGCCTTCTTCTGAAACATCGTCAAAGCTCCAAATCAAAAATTCCGACCTGAATGTATTGCGACTTTTTCTTCAAGACCATTGAGCCCAGCTTTTCATGTTAAGCAATAGAGGCTCCTTTGAAATGAGCTATTTTTGTACATATACTATGTAGCCTGCTCCTAGAACACTGACAACACAGCTGTCCGTTATTTTCTCCCAAGGGGGAGCATTCTTCACCTAAGTAATGACTTCTTGTAGCTTAGGCTGCAGAAAGTTTCCTCGTTGATTTATGTCCATTCTGTTTTCAATGTAGTCATTGATTTCCATGTACACATACTTTTAAATAGCTTGTGTATTGCAATATAAAGAGTTTTTAGGCATGCAGTCCTTCCTTCAGGAATTATTATTTGATTAATTCTTCTTTCTGCAAGGAAGTTCTTCATGGTTTTAGCACGATGAGTGCTGGCAGAATCCCACATTAGCATACCTATTTCATTACTGCTTTCAGAGATTAGATGAAAGTTCTTTTGATCTAAATGGGTAACGGTGAGGACAAAATACGTTTTCTTCGAGCACTTTCATAACCAGTGGAGAGAAAGAATTTCGCAGCGGCATACAGCTTATCAATGGTAATATCCACAATATAGATGCTTAAGAGTTGGCACTACCATCAACGAAACACTTGAATGCAATTGCAAGTTTAATCACTTCAGTATCTTCCAATTTGAACAGTGTTATTGATCTTCTTAGAGACTGTTCATATTGCTGAAGAAAGCCATCCACACAGTGTTGTGACGCTTTGAATTCGTCTGGCGATATGTCTGTCTCTGATGCCATTGCAAGGACAAATACTTGAATCCATCCCTGCGAACAACCAAACACTACTGTATTATCAGCAATCCATCACAGATGATGTATTCCATCTCAGGAAATAATGGTTGCCGACCTGATCCACACTTACAGCCCCTGGCATTTCGTCGTCTATATGTTGACTGATGTTATTGTACTCTGATCGCCATTTTTGAAACATTTGTGCATCCAACTTCGTCTCTTTGCAGAAAGCTATTTGAATTTTATCCTTGGAGGTTTCCTCAGTTCTCTGACAATCTTAACTAGGGCTTATTTTAGGAGTAATGCTTATATTAAGATTACTCTGGGAAACTCTATCAGATCTTATTTTTCGATTAGATATAACTTTCGGGGAAATTCGGTACATGGGCCATAGTAAATAGCTTTGTTGGCTGGATTCCTCCTGCCATGTACTCATGATATATATACTCTATGCATGATATATACTCTATGCATATATATACTACTGCATGATATATACTCTATGCATGCCAGTTGTACATTTGAGTCGCTTTGCACACTCTGCAAATAAGAATCCGATTATGACAGTCCAAAGTTTTAGGTAGAAGGTTTCCCCTCCCAGATCCAAATTTCTTCTTTTTATGAGTAAAACAATTACTAAAAATTGAAACATTAAACATGATATTCCTGCTGTCTAAAATCTGGACTTTAGATTGAGGTCTTGTGAGTATTTATCAGATCTGCAGAGAGAGAAATCTTAAAAAATGCAGAAATTTTAACACCAAAATAAAAGACTTCAAGAAAATATTGAGAGATAAATTTATAAATTCGTTCCAAATGCACCGAAGATTTAAATATAGAGTATACTTAAATGCATCAAAATACTTAAATTTAAAAAAAATTCCAGAGAAAGGAAAAGGCATGTCACTACATTATTTAATAAAATAGTTTCCAGAGCACGTTAATTTTCTTATCAATAAACAACTATATGATCACACTAAATATCATCTACATTTCCAAGTCCACTGATGAGTTCACATCACGCACTGCGAATCATAACCACTGTGACTGATACCTCAGTCTCTTCGAGTCTTCACTTTACCTTGTCCATAACTTTTTTAATATTTCATAAAAATTAAATAAAATTTATTAAATAAAAATTTTTTAAAATTCTCACACGACAAAATCTGAGCTAGCCACATTTCATCCAACCGGAGAATCACATTTGAAAACCATCTCCTAACTGACGGTAAACCTACAGTTAAAGAAGTACAACTAGGATAAAACTGTTCTGAAGAAGAGCGAACCATTCATATGTTTGCTTGTGAAATGACACTATTAAGTCGTTCTGCTCACAGCGCTCTGCCAGTATACCAGTTTTTCTTCCCCCACCCAACCTTTCTCTCTCTATTTTTTCTTTTTGGTTGCTGTTGTTGGATAATAGACTGAGCTTACAAAGATATATATGAAATAGGTTGCAGAGTTTTGAGTTTAAAATTCTTTTCAAAAAGACAAATCTAAATGGCCATACTAATGAATCAGAGCACTTTTCCACTCATAAAGTTTATAAAAAGAGGGCGCCCTCAACCGTAATTAGTACCATCTTAAAGTGACCAGAGCGTGTACAGGTAGGTCCTTGAATAACAGGCTGAGTGATTTCCTGAGATTTATAGATGCTAGAGGTGACTGAGGCTGTTTCCTATAATAGGCACCGACTAAAGGCATTCTGGGAAGCAATTCTGTCAAGCTTTCCAGTTTATTTCTCGAAGAGGAGCCTTTTAGCAGGTTGTTTCGAAATGCATACAACTTTTCTGTAGATAAACAAAAATCAAAACTTGAGGATATTATTAAAAGCATAAAATTAAGTAGAATGAGATGGGCAGGTCACATCCTGAGAATAAATTCATAACAGTCCTTAATGTCTTTGATGCAAGTCTTTTTTATGGAAGATCATAACGAAGACCTAAAAAAAAGATGGAGGGATTGCCAGGATGAGGATTTTGCCATTCTAAAAATTAAGAGCTGCAAATCAGTTGCTTTAAGAAAGGCGAAGTGGGAAATACTTCTGAAGAAGGACAGGGGCTACAAAGGGCTGTCGTCCCAAAGCTGATGATGAACGCAAATCAGAAATTTAATTCTTTTCCCTAATTTTAAAATATAAACTGGCTTCTATTAGAATTTTGTAATGATTGCTACAGTTATCTTATTTAAAGAATCAGTCAAAATGTAAGAGAGGTATTTGTTTCATGTTTTGCATGCTGCTTTCAATGCGTTGTGTTTCCATTACTTTCCAAAATCTGATTTTAAACATTTTAAACAGCAATTAATATTTTCTCTATAAATCTTCAAGGCAAAACATTCGGTAAATGTTATTTTACTTATAAATTTTAAAACTTACTGTAATCATTTAAAATTATGTCATTTGATATTTTCATAAGGTAATTTCAAGCAAAATTTTGCTTTGATTGTTGCAATTTAAATAGCAGTAGCTTGTTGTGCAATTAATGTGCAAAAATTATTAATTTAATTAACATATGTCTTTTTTTTCTTTTCTTTCGGAAGCATGATTTTAACATTGCCGCCTTCCTGTCAACTATGGGCATGTGGAATTACTTGAGACCTGAACCAAGCGCAACAATTTTGATTGAATTGTACGACCATGAAAATAACTACTTCGTCCGATACCTGTATCTGAACTCTACTATGCCAGAGAGAGAGCCACAGTACATAAATCTGTTGTATGTCCCGGGATGCGTCGAATTCTGCCCACTGAGTTACGTAATTAACTTGATGAGCAATATGATCCCAAATGACTGGGATGGAGAATGCCTATTACTGTAGCAAAGATATTTGAAATATGCCATTTAAAAACTTCATGCATTTAAATGTACTTTTGAGTGAATATTTTGCTACCATCAAAATAAAATAATTTGACACATTGTTTTTGTTTATTATTTATTTATGTTATAGGGTTACACTAAATCTGGTAAGGCTATTTTAGTCCTGTAAACCCTAACACACGTAAAGCGAGTTATTGCTATGTATGAGAACAACGCCAAAGTCTTGAGAAGATTGCTCTTGTGATAAAATAACAACTCGTAATGATGTAAATAAACAGCAGGTGACAGGTGAGAGCGAGTCCAGACATCTGGCGGCTTACAAGGACTGTTCGGATATCGTCCGAAATCCACAACTGTACAATGCAAGACGGCCCAGAAGCATGGCTTCGGGAGTTTAACAGAACAGAATAGCATCATGCATTGAAAAAGCAATGGGCGTTTTCTGGTTATGGAAAATGAAATCTCCGAAAAGAGCTCAGAAACGATTCCGACAGGAATTTAATAAACTTACCAAAGGAACAATGAGTTAAAAGATTGTCGAAAACAGTTTCGAGAGACCGGATGTGTAAAGGAGGTGCAATCAAACCAAGAGTAAGTGATGAAAATGTTTCCGCCATTCGAGATGTGTTTGCGCGCAGTCCCAGTAAATGCATTCGCCATGCCAGCCTGTAAACAAGAACTTCCAGGTCGACTGTTCAGTAAAATTTCTCTGGCATGGTTGAAACTCACTACGTATAAATTGCAGATTTAATCAGCAAATCAAATCTAATGATAAAGTCATTCGTAAGGAGTTCTCAGTAATGGTGATCAGTTTCTTCAAAAGATCGTATTCAGTGACGAAGCAACATTTCATGTTTCAGAAGATGTTAATCGACAGCATCAAATTCCCAGAGTTAATCGATCAGAAGCAGTTAATTGATTGCAGGATTTCGGGATCAGAAAATCTGCATCATACAAGGAAAGCTGAGCGAGTTAGCCCTAAAATTAACGCTTAGTGTACACGAGCTCATAACAAAGTGATTGATCTCTTCTTTTTCTACGAATCATCAATCGGACATTTACTTTGATATGCTGAGATTGTTTGCCATATCGCAATTAAAAGAAAGGCAGCAAAACCTTTTTTTTCAATAGGATGGCACCCCTGTTATTGGTCAATACATGTGCCTTATTTCCTTGATGAAACATCCCCATATCGTTGGGTTGGTAACGGTGGACCAGTTTCATAACTACTCCCTGAATGTCACACCACTTGACTTCTTTTCCTGGGGTACCTGAAAAACCGACTTGCAGAAACTGCAGAGATTCGCAGCACCGAAGAATTAAAAAATCGAGTCACCACACAGGTGATTATTAAAAACGCATCTAGAACGATATATAACCTGTGAACACTCTATGTTGCACACATATAATAGTGCAGAAAATATAATATAATAGTCCAGTGCAGAAAATACAATATAATAGTCCAGTGCAGAAAATACAATATAATAGTCCAGTGCAGAATATACAATTTTATACAGAACATCACTTAAGTCATTGTTACTTTATGTTAGTGATTCGTTTGTCCGATTATGCAAAGCCGGTTACTGTACATGTTTAAACTGTACACTTCTAAACAAATTATATTGCAAATATAATATTAAAATTCAAAATAATTACAACCCAAAAGATATGAATACGTATGCTACAGAATGCGGGAATGTGAAACTTTCTGCAACTTACCTTGTTGCTGTCATACCAATGTATATGCACATATATACTCAAATATCTGGCTAACGAATTGCTTTCTGTTTCCTGATATTATTTTAAGTGGAGCTTCATACTTTAATATAAATTTCTTTAAAAATGAATATTCAACAATTTTAGCAAAAGTTTTGAAGGGAATAATTTCTACCCATTTTGAAAAATTATCAGCGATTCTGAGCAAATACCTACTTTTATTTTTTCATACATCTATTTTTAGTTTTTATAGGCCAATTCCTATTATTTCTTTAGGAAAAGTAGCTTTTATTCTATTTAAATACCCTTTCGGGCTATAATTAATGTCATTAACTAACTGACAAATGTTAAAGGATTCACATATTCAGTTCCGAAATTTCGCAGTTCTGTAAAATAAGCAGCTTCCATTACTCTCTGGAATGTTTTTCTTATTCCGGGATAATCTGAAATTGTTCGCTCATGCAATTCCAGCAAAATACTTAAAGTCGCTTGTAAACCGGTCTCAATCGTTATTATTATTTGCAATTTTGGAGAAGAACAAGAGCTTGTCGATGATTATTGTCCATGTTAATTATATTGTAATTTGCCAGTCTGTTTCTAATGCCAGACATATCATGGCTTTCAAAGCGATCAGGATGTTTCAAATTCGTGTAAATATTCTTAAATTCCGGAACTGTTTGTCAAGAATCTACATTTTTTTTTATATAATATTGCACATTTTACTTCTTTTCCGTCGCTATCTAGATTAATTCTTGATAGAGAAAATGGTTACTATATTTCCTGTCTCGGGAGTATATTTAAATATCAAACTATATTCTTGTAATTTAAGAGCCCCCAGCATGAGTCTGGGTGATCAATTGTTTCCGAAATACAAACAAACAACGGTCGCATAGTCTGTATACGCTGTAATCCAGGCCTTCCCAAAATACACTCGATATTTCTGTACCGCAAAAGGACTGATTCTAGCATTTCTCTCTCCGTAGCCATATAACTGCTTTGAACTGGGTTAAGTGTTTTGCTTAAATATACAATCGGCTGCCCGTCTTGCATAAACATGGCTTCTACCACAAAATCTGATGCATTTGCAGAGATTTCTAATTAGCTGGCTGGTTCAGGAAACTGCAAGACCCATTACTTGGTTTAATGCCGCTTTAAGTCTTTCAGACGCTGTGTTTGCTTTTGCCAATCAAGTGAACTCGGCATTTTTATAAAAAAAAAAAAAAAAAGTTGATTATAGCTCTGCTACATGAGCAAAATCTTTGATGAAAGTCCTATAATAGAAGAGCAATCCCAACATTGAGGCTAACTTCTTTGCCGCATTATTTATATATTTTTTATCGCTACGATTTTAAAAGCTTCTGTTTCAGTTCTTCTTTCAGATATTTTATAGCCGAGATAACGACGCTCATTTGCCATGAATTTATATCTGGCCTCAATAAGCTTTAAACCTGCTACTTTTAGAAGCGAAAACGCTTCGTATAAATCCCAAATAGGTTAATCGATTGTCTTGCTAGTGACTATTTTATCATCTTAATAAATACACGTATATTTTCTACGGACAGGTTTTAGTATGACATCAAATTTTAATATCGAATAAAACCAATGCACTTGTAAATCTTTGTTACCAAAGTTAATGAATAAATCTGAAAAGACACCCTTAATAGTCTCATAACAAAATTTATGACTTGTAAACTAGTCAGTGCGTATTTCCATGCTAACAATTAACCTTTTTTAAGTCCTTTAATAGTTGCGCATGATTGATTTTTTTCACAGAATTTCGTGCTTTACTCATAGCAAGAATGCATGAAATTATTTCAAAGTGCGTGGCCTGTCCATAGATGACCACTTTTAAATATTTTCGTAGTACATCTAGTAGTTTTTGTAAATGTTTAGTGTTCTAAAAATTTGCTATCAAATCTAGTACTTTCTTTCTTTCAAGTAATAACGATAAAATATAACTACAAGGACTTAGCATATTAAACCAATTTTAGCTATAGTATGAAATCCCATTATTAGGATACGTTGTCTCTTATTCAATACATCAAAAGTAGTAAATGAAAAATTTTTTCTTCTTTTTTATATGAATATCACCTTCGTCTTCTAATTTAACATTTAGTAGGATGCGAAATGAAAATTTTCACGAAGTATTTTATAAAATCATAGCTTCAAATAACGCCAAACGAAAAAATAAATTCGTCCGACAATGTTCAGTCTTTAGACACAGGAAACAAATATCTAGTCTTAAGGATCAACGCTCTCCTGAAATGAGGCCCACCAGCGGCCGAGCGGTAAAGTCGCTGAACACTGGTAGTTCGGTCCGAGGTTCGAATCCCGCGAACGGGCTGGCTGCATGGGCGTTTTCGTGGTCTTCCCCATGTGTAACGTGTATACGAGCCAGTTTCCCTTAGAAAGTCCTCCACGAAAGGCATCCCTCCCTTTAGGCAGATAGCCCTCGAGGCTTTGCCATAATCACACACACACACACACACACACTTCTGAAATGAGTTTAGTAAGGGTGAAGTTTCCAGAAAGAGACATTACGACCTTTTAGTTTAAAGTACTAGTTTCCGTATAATAAATTATTCATCAAGTTTTCAAACGAATAAGTTATAAAGATCCTATATTAAAACGCCTATAGATACCAAATCTGAAATGAGAAAAATCGAATTCCTGTTATATTACTATGCCGCTGGCTTTATGTTTTCAAAATTTAATTAAAAATAATTATGAAGATCTTAATAGAAATAGGAATCTATTAAGGACAGTAGAAGCATTGAAAACTAAAAGTTTTGCACAAATATTTTCTAACATTAATTAAAGCTACATTAAGCCTTCCTCATTCGTCACCCTCACCTAAAAGACTATTTCCAACAGGAATAAACTACGAAACCAGCTACAGACTCTCTTAAAGAAAAATGCATTTTAATAAAGGAAAAACTAAAGGGACACAATTTACAAAATTCATAAGGAACACAATTTACTATAACTTACAAGTTAATTATTCTAACAAAATCTGATAGAAATAACGATAAATACTTCTAGTGTTTTTCTTCAATATTAGCACACATCTAAATAACATATAAAATAAATGACAACTATAATGTCTATATGTAAAAGGAAACATTTAATAACTTAGTGCGATTAATCTTAGCATTTTGCTTTTCATACTGAAAGAATGTGTGTTAATTTAGAAGTTTTACATTAAGTTTACCGATAAGAAAGTAGCACCGCAAAGATCTCTAAGGACAGTGAAGAGAAAAAAGCTATTTTAAATATACTACTTCAACCCTCCCCCCAGATGTAGCACTTTCTCCTTACATAAATTGGTACGAAATATTATTGTTGGGTTTAGCTGTCACTTATGTTGGTAATTTTGATTAGTCAATG